AAAATGTCAGGGGGGATAATAATTATTTACAGTTTTCTTGTTAAAATTCAGCACATCAATCTCATCAAACTTTGTTCTTTTGAAAGCAATGCAAGTATTAACAGTTTTTGTTATGGTCATTTCCACGGAAATGTTAAGGGTTTTGTGTGATTTCATTGGGGGGCTAATGATTCTGACTTTAACTGTAACTATGTTCAGTTGCTTAATTAAACATTACACATTGTGGCTAATGAACTTATAACCATGCTGTACTGGTGTTTGAAAACCACAGCTGGTCTACCTCTGTAGCTCTTATACAGTTGATGATTCAGCCTAGAGGTCCAATTTGTGGTACCCTGGTCCCCTGGCCCCTGGGCTGGCCCTATGCCCTCCACTCAATCTAGAGTAACCCACCTCTCAAGTTGCTAAGTGAGATGAATGAGCGTGATTGTGCCTTTCAGCAAGAATGTAGCCTTGTCCGCAAAAACAAAAGGCTTCACACCTTCCCAGGGTGCTGTCTGTGTCAACCTAGCCCTCTCATTGTAATTGCCTAAATGATACTTCAAACACATATATAGGGTGACCAGATAATCCATGTCATCCTGATCACTTTGAGCTAGGACAGGATTTGTAACCTACCATTTCAATTAAAAGGACCTGGATTTCACTTAACCACTGAGTTCTTGTTGCGTGCTGATTGGTCAGTCTCCTATAATAATCATGCACGTGACACTAATGTTAATGTGAATCAGCTGGATGAATCTTTCAGTCAAGGAAACAAACCAGTCAAAGCACAAGAAGAACTTAACAGTTTAGCCAAGCGCAGGAGCCTTTCGGTTTTAAGGTGGTTTGTAAAACCTGAAGTAGCTCAAGGTGTCCAGGATGATGGATTATCTGGTCACCCTAACTTATACTCACTGCACACACACAGGCCAAGCTAATGAGGAGTAGCATGAATAAACAATGAAGCCACTGATTGACTTTATTATTACAACCAGACAACTCAACTAAAGGTGTTCCTGAGAGCTTGCAAAGGTGACAGACAGAATTTGTAAAATGAATGCATTATATGCACTTCCATTGAACCCAAGTTATCCAACTAATGCAATTACAAAATGATCAGACAGAGAGATAATCTTCATATGCTCACGTTCTGCAAGGAAAAAGCCAGGTAATTCAACATGGCACAATGGCTTTAATTAAACTTAGAGTGTAAAAAGGACAGTCAAAGAGGATTGGAATACATTTACATTGTCACATTACTACGAGCTGAATAAGTGAATTAACTATCTTGCAGAAATTAAGGTATCACTGTCCAACTTTCATAAATCATATGAAAGCAAGGGCATTTCATATTCACTGGCAATTCAAAGTGCTTTACCTTGCAACTCATTAAGCAAAAAGCATTGCATAAACAAAAGAAAATATATTGCTAAATGTTGTAGGTAATTAGCCATAGCATATAGTGAATTATTATTAATCATTAATTTTCCATAGCTGCTTGTCCTTTGCAGGGTCTTGAGGGTCCAGAGCCTATCCCAGAAACAAAGGGAGCAATGCAGGGAATAACCCAGGATGGGGCACTAGTGGATTATTAATAATATTTTTTTCTGCTGCTTGACCACTTGTACAAGCATAAGTATATAGGAATTGCTTAATTTCAAATATACCATCCTCTGACACATACATGGGTGAGAGAAAAACCTGGGGTCAGGGCACAGGGTCAGCCATTTATCCAATGACCTACTGCAGGATGTGGGGTTAAGTGCCTTATTGAAGTATAATGTGTCATCACAAAGGGTATTTAGCATTAGCATAAAAAAAGATTATTATGGTATAGTCACAAAGTGTTAGCATATTGTAGATCATTGGAATATAAGCTCTTTTTAGGATGTAACCTACAATGAATTATTAGTGTATAATATCCAGAAGTGACATTAACATACAAGGGATATTGATTTATAACATACAGTGATTTATCAGTGTGTAACATAGTGTTTTTTTATTTTATAATGTACCAGTTTTTAATAAAATTGTCACAGTGGGTTTCAGCATATGACAAACAATGAATAAAAGTGATATAATGGTACACAAAATTCATGGTTGGGTACAGACCTCTGTTTTGGGTTCACGGTTTGGTAAAGTTTTGGTATAGCAGGGACAACAGATTATGTTTTGAAAATATTCATTATAAAACATGCAAACACAATTAGGAACAGTTTGTAGCACTGGTGGGGCGTGTGGCAGTTGTAAATAGCCCCTTTTGTGTTGTTGTTGTTAATGTTAATGGTTACATTTCCTTATTGTTGCGCGTGTGTTTGCCCGTGTATTGTGTGTACCAGGTCCGACCCCCATGTGTATTTAGCTTACATAAATCTCCCACCGTGTATGCATCTTACAGTTTGGCATCTGACAACCTTGTGTTTCCTATGTGTAATTGGTTCGGTACTCGTTGGGTGCCTTTTCAGGACTGCCAATAAAGAGCGTGTTCTCCCTGGCAAGCGAGTCTCCGTGTCTCTCTTTGCTCCCGCAATGCCTCAGTCCACCCGATGCCACAAGTTGTAAACCTAGGGCAATATGTCAGTTGATGTGTCTGATTAACAAAACCAGAGATGCTTATTTGCACATTGTAAAAATAAATATATAAAACAAATTAACATCATCATAACAAACATAATGTACTACTCGTGTGTTTTCTAATACTGGATGTTGTTGTCTCAAATGAGAGCTGACAGTCTTGGACTTATCTTCTGCTTCCTCTCTAATGCTGATAATTTATTGGGAAGCCAAAGAATTCCCAACTGCTGATTATGACCAATTGTAATCAGCATGAGCCTTAACCAACTCATAGCCACAATTAGTATGTTTTCTCTGTTAATTGTGAATTTAGATTTTGCCTGTGTCAATAAATGTATTAATTTGTTTCATTTTGCCTACTGAAACTGAAGATGATGTACTGAATGATACACAATGGATGCATGTACCATTACAGTCTTAAATGATAAACATACAGTAGGACAGAATCGGTAAATAGCATGTATAGTAAATTTAGTTATTAGTATGTGTTATCAGGTTAGAGGTAGACCTTTCTCAATTTATAATATAATACAATTGGCTAGGCCAATAAAATCTACTGTTGGGTTATCAGATCAGAGGTAGACCTGTCCCCAGATTATAGGATCAGGGGTAGGCAGATAAGAGCTACTTTTGGCTTATCAGGTCAGAGGAAGAGTTGCTAGAGCTGCCCCCGAGGTAATAGGATCAGGGATAGGCCAATAAGTGCTCCTTATGCCACCTTGCTCCTTATGCGTCCTCTTTCTTATGCTTATGCCTCCCATCGATACAGCTACTAGATAGTGATATTTGTCTTTATACTGTATATGTCAAAAATCTCAAAGGAAAAACAGCTATATTTAAACATTTCAGCTTTTGATGGCTATATTTATCCATATCAGGTAACATGTAAAACATTTAAATTATATATTAAGCTATTGGGTTATTTCTAGCTGCAGTATCTTTCAACAGCAGGAAGTTCAGACATACACCCACCATTGCTCTATAGCTTCTCCCCTTCACCCTGCCTACATTTCCCAGGTGACTCAGGGCTCAGGCAGCCATATGGAAGTCTCCTACATCACATTACTTGTTCACCTCACTGCTTCCTGCATCATACTGGGAAGGGAGTGACATGAGCATGCATTTCCCACACGCGCCTGATGGCATGGCATTCAGTGTGAAATGTGCAGGCTGGGAAGGGGTGCTGCTCTTGGCATGCCTTTACTCTCTTTGGGGGGGGGGGAGGGGCGGGCAGGTGCATTCTGCCAGGATAGCTATTTTTGGGCAGTACTCACACAGCCATCATCCTGGTCCCATGGCTTCCATTGCAGACTCTCCTGCACTGCGGCAGCATAGTGCCCCCAGGGATCACAGGCCTGTTAGGGTTCAGACTCATGCCAGGATCCTATGGGGACCAGCTTCTCTCGGTGTTTTAGCCCTGGACCAGACTGCAGCAGGGGCTGAACCATAAGTAAATTCAACATCTTGAACATTGGTCTGGTGGAGTTGATTGCAGCGAGGCCAGGCCAGCCTGATCCAATCAAAGCTGTTTCTGATCATGTCCCTGTCATAGACTAAAGCAGTCCACACTGATGTTCCAGCACCTGCTTCAGAATCTCCATGCTGCCACCTGAGATAACAGTATGTGGGTGTGCTGTTTGGGCACAGTGGCAAATTATAATCACTGCAGCTCCTGACAGGTTGCGTGTCGTACATGACATTTAGTGAGTGGGACCATCCAGGTTAGGGGTCTGCTGTTTCTCCAAGGCGTAGCTGGGGATCATGGTGTTAAAGTTCTGCAGCAGGTGAAAAAACAGGTTAAAACAAAACTATTCACCTTATCTTCTGCTAGATTAAATATAAAGTTTTTTGGATTAACCTCCCAGGCACTTTGAGGGTGGGTAAAAGTCATGAGTGCACAGTGTTTACATAAGTGGCCACTTTTTTTAGGCCATCCCAGCATCCTCCTCATTGACTGTGGGCTCTAAATGCATGAGTGTGTTAGAGTCTCATACATCCCAGCATCCTCTCTGATTGGTACCCTTATGAAAACACAGCATGGTTCAGATAAGGCTATCAAGCATTTTTCTTATTTCCATTATATGTGACGACACATGATTTTTTAATATATGTTCACTACAAGTCAGTGTTTTTTCTTGTATGATTATGGCCACATTCAAACCAAAAAAACACATCTGTTTTGAGTGCACGTGATAACATATGGCTCTATAGGAAATACATGTTTATTGCATATTATTTCTTAATCAAATTTTATATTGTTTCTATGCTATTCTAAACATGTATGATCTCTTCACTCATTTGAGTTAATTAGACATAAGAAAACAGTGAGATTAACTGATCTCTGTTATGTTCTCAGAACACAAAGTGAATGCATCATTTTTAATACTAATGCGCTGTTTGGTTAAGTTTGATACAAGCTGATTCATGGAAACGCTTTTGTTTTTGCCAGGCGAATCATGCTGTTTTTCGGCGTTAGCGCACTAGGCCATGGTGGCTAATTTGTTAGCGATGCTTGTTGCAGACCTCATAGTTGGTGTAAAATGGACTAGTTTTTGCTTTGAACTGTTCATGTTACGTCCTGGAGCCTTTTAATCAAGATTACAAGGTGTTGTTTTCGTCAACGAACCTTTTTGACGTGACGGAGACGAGACGAGACGCAATGTAAATGCTGGTCATGTGACGATAACTATAACGAAATATATCGTGTAATATTGTTGACGAATAAAAACGAGACTAAATTTGGTTTACAAAAATTTCGTTGACGAAAACAAGACGAGACGTTATTTCCTCTCGTTTAATCGCGTTATTATTATTATGCAGTATTTCTGTTTCCTAGCTGTGTCTCCCATTCGGGCACACAGATGGCGGAGAAATGCGGCTACAAAATATCGGGAAAAAACACCACAAACCTTAAAACCTTAAAAGACATCCCAAGCCATTCCACAATGACATTGAGGTAAGTAAAGATATTAATGTAACGTTACTTTCTATTTTAGAAAGCTCATGCCAACTGTGGTTAACATGTTATC